ACCTAAGGTGGCAGAATACCAGAAGCTGAAAAGTGAAATATGTGACCAGATCAGCAAGTTGGATGAACAGAACCCTCTGCTCATGTTGTTCAAAGCACGGGATACATACAGCTTCATCAGATATTATCTGTTGAAGGATCCCCAATGAGAGTGCAGATATGATGCCTCGTTAACATCAGAAACAGTTAAGTAAAAGTATCATTTCCGAATACATACTAAGAGATGTGTTTTATTGTTTCCTTACCAATTTCGACATGATCTTCTCTTTCGTACTCTTTTATTCTGATGTATAACTCTCTTGTTTTATCCTACATTTGATGCTGTTAGACACAGGTTTATTTACGCTTCTGCTGATCTCCAAATTGTGTAGGAGCTTAGTCCTAGGAATGCTGAGTTCATGCATAGTAATCATAACCTCTTTATTCCAAAGTTTTTGCATTTTACTAGTTCTACGATAACTATTAATTACATAGGTGAAACATTTTCCGCTGTTATTATAGCTGTTTCTGAACATTTATACTGTTGCATACAGAAGATAACACTGAACAAAAGGAAGTGGAATAAACATCACTAAATACCATGCTTGTTTAACTAATATATAGAATTGAGATCATGTTTTCCAACAAACGAAACTTGATGAGTGTTTAGATATAAGTCCCTTGCTGCTATCATATCCGATTATATTGCATCTCTGTTCCACTGTTAATGCGGCTCTTCATGAAGATTTTATTTAACATCGCAACTATTCGCTACACCAACATGGTACATGCTGATTGTCATAAAACCATATTAATGTTGGCTATTTACAAACTGCTTTTCTAGCGAGATCACTTACCGTACCTGTTTGTGTCAAGGGTTAGACAATAACTTATTCATGCAGTCAACAATTCTAGATCCTGCTTCATAACAACACTCATCTGTCATATGAGACTATTCTAAGTAGCTAGTGGTATCTGGAAGATGAAATACCAACAATTTTTTGATTATTCTTAAACTACTAGAGGTTACACAACAAGAATCAGAAAAATCATTTCTTGCATCATAAGATATACACTGTTAAATACTTATAGAACAATTTGCACTCTTCACTCGATACAAATAACTCATTTCATACTTTACTTTCTTGGTTGTGCTCCTCTTTCGATCTTCTTGGTGGGTGGCAAAGTGATAGTAAACAGAATCAATGTGTGAACCTGGCTTTATCATTTGTTGCATGTCAAAAAAAGAATCTATTGGCAACCCGCTGCAGTAATACCTCTTACACAGAAACCATCTCTAATCATGCACGGATTGTTACTGGAAATGTTTCGTCCTTGGGCATAGAAGCTCAACACACCTACCACTATTGCTGTGGTGACCAGATAAATTTGTGTTGTCAGCATAACATCGTGCAAGCTAGGATTTACTGTGTGTTCGGTATCAACAAAACATCCATACTCTAACGAACAGGCATGCTTTTCAACGATCAATAATCTGCACCTTTTATTTTCTGCAGAGCTAATAAACCGGTAATATTAGTCGTAGTAATACAAACTAGACTATCAAGTTTCACATTTCTTCTCTTTAAAGGTTACTACCATCTATTTGTACTTCAACCTTGAATACACCCTTGTGTTCTGTTGAACCGTAAAGACGATCAATACATCCGCTGCATTGCTGCCACTATTTTTGGTTCACAACTCGTAACAAAGCCTTTCATAATCAGATACCGATACTATAACATCAATTCAGCATCTGCTGCCTATCATTTACAGCAGAAATAACGAATAATATATGAGATCACAAATACCCATGATCAATTTATAAACGGTAATAAACATAAAACACTATATGCGTCATCAGAATACTGACATATTTGTTTTTAATCAACCTATCATAAGCCATTCAAAGCATTCACTCATCAACTGTGCTCATTTTATGTCTGTTCTCCTTGATTAATCGTCTCAACGCTTCTATCCGTGATTTTATTTCTCTGTAAACCTTATATGCTAGCTGATTCTCTGCAGCAAAATTCCTATGATGTTCTACAATGCTAAAAAACAGCTTAGTTGCCAGCACTATGTTATAGTTGATATTACTTTCCAGTGCCCGTAGAACAAGATACAGCGAACTATTATCTAGTCCGGATACAATACCACCCACGTCTCCTAGACCCAGCTCCTTGATGACGCCAAATAACGTATCATAGCTGTTGTCTTCTCTGCTCTTTTCCAATTCCTTGTGGAACTTGTCATATGCCCCAATATTTTCTATTTCCAACTCGTCCTCTGACTCCGAGCTGGTATCCCTCACCAACTCATACCTATCCATTTCATATAAATACACGCAGTATTTGCCAGCAGCTACAAGATACTCATCGTTGTAATCAAACAGCTTTATGTCAAAGTTCTTATACCGCTTGATAATTTCGTTCTTCTTATAGCAGTGGATATCATTGTCGGCTGCCAAAAACATGTCCTTGTTGTGTCTCATGAACATTACGCTGGATGAGTTGACATAAAACGTTTTTCTGCACTCGCCAAACTCAGTTCCCCACAACTTCACCAACTTGTCTGCTGAACAGCTGACCACTGATTTGCTATCGTTACTAAAGTCAAAACAGCGGACAGGCAGAGAATGGCCATAGAGACTCATAACCAATTCCATGCTATGCACCTTGTAGATATTGATCTTGTTGTTGTAATTCGATATTCCCACCAGTTTTTCATCTCCGCTGAATCTGATGAACACTATTTCTGACTCATCTGTTACAGTGCACTTCACATTCCACGATCTATCCATGACATGCAGTTCATTATTTCGCGCAACCCCAAAAAAGCTTGTGCTTGTGCAAACTGCAGATACATTCTCCATTTTTTTCGTCTTTTCTAACTCTAGCGTGTCTATGCTGTACATTGATACACCCTCACAATCCACTAACACAATTGAACTGCCAAACAAACACATATCACGTGTCTTCACCTGTAAATCCTTGCTGTTCACAAGTATTAGTTCTTTACTATTTATAGCACCCAGAACGTTTCTTCTCCCTATCACCTTCCATTCTATCAACTTGTCTTCTGATAGGGTGAAAATAACATCTCCACAAAGCTTTATCTGCATGATTTCATTTCTGTGATAACACAAAAACACCATTTTATGCGCAGATTTCTCCATCAATATAACTTTATTGCTCGTATCTATTCCGTAAATATCTTTTCCTATCCACGTGATAGCCCGTACCTTCACGCTTACAGGTTGCAAATCTCTGATCTTCAATAATTGTCTGCTTGTCCTTGTTGCGGATGTGTTATCAACATTTTTTGATGGTATCGAATGCTTAAATTCTGTTGCATCGTTCTCTCTCCCATCACCAGAACATACGCCTCCTTGTTCCTCGTTCTCCTGTGCTACACACCTCCCGCCTACTAAATCATCATTCAAGACCGTGGTTCGACCGCTTGCTACCTCTTTGTTCATGTGATACTCCTCATCAGCTTTTTCACTCTGTTTCTCAGCACTCAACATAGAAATTGTTTCACCTCCACTTTTCTTTGGCACAATGCTGATATCATACCGGTATACTAATTTCTTGCTCGTTAAAACGTATAACTCTCCATTCACATCACGGACTGTGTGTGCCTTCTTTATGTTCAAACTGCTCTCCATCAATGTTCTTTCTCGTAGGTCAAAAAACAAAACCTGACCGTTCTTGTTCAAGAATACCAAAATGTTTCCCAGAACGCAAAAACTCAGCACTTCCTCCTCCACTTCAAGTACATGCACAGGATGCAACGTGCCGTATTGATAGATGCAAAATTTGCAGTTCATGTAACAAACAAAATATGTGCTGTTGTGCATCACTGGCAGATTAGTGATCCCTTGCCGCTCATACTCCATTACTATTTCGTTTTTCATGATATCATAGCTGCATATTCGTCCAGCTGTCCCTATGTAAAGCTGCTTATGGACATAGAAGAGCGATCCGATCCTTTTCCTTCCATATCTAAAGCC